TTCTTGACTTCCCAGAGCCTGTACACGGTATAGATTTTTAACAAACACAGTCTAAAATATATTGAGAAATTTTTTTAAAAAAAATGGTTAATAACATCTCTACATTGATCTTAGCTTCTTCTTGCTAAGCTAACTTTAAACAATTTAAATCATTCCTGATCTTAAGCATAGGCTAGCTGGAATTTCTTAGTCCCGTATTTGTTTTGTATATAGTCAATCCAAGTCGAAAGCATTGTGACATGTTGTTAAACATCGTCAGGCTCAATACCTAGCTCATTTGATAATTCTTGTGAATGTTCTCTCTGCCTATGAAACTTCCGCATCAGAGGAGACAGGTTGGATTAGGTAGGCAAAACCAAAATGAATAGAGGTTTCCAGGGAAGAGTATACTGAATGTTCTTGCATTTCCATACTTGTTGATTGATGAGCCCATGTTTCCAACTGATTTTTTTTTACTTTAACATTTTAGGGCCCTGTAGGATCCATTGGACCTCCTGGTCCATCTGGCCAATCTGGTGATAAGGTATACTTACAAACATAATACATTTCATTCACATGTGAATGTAAATTCAATTCATTTTTGAAGAAAACAATTCTGAAATAAAAGCTTTATTTGTTTTGTTTTTGCTGTTTTTATTTATTTATTTATTTATTTCTCTTCTAGGGAGAACCTGGACCTGCTGGGCCCCATGGCCCAACAGGACCCCGTGGTGGCCCGGTAAGAAATTCTTTCAAATACACAATCTAATTACATCTGTAGGTGCTTTAATCCTTTTCCTACAATTTTCATACAAAAGGGTTTTTTTTATATTATTTGAATAATCTTAATTGGTTTGGAAAGTTAGATTACTTTCTTGAAAAGAGTAATATGCCAGAACACTCTTGTTCTTTTCAATCTATCTAGAAATTATATTTAAATTTAAAACATTAATACACTTCATATTATAGATAATGTAGAGTGAATATCTATAATTAAGAATATTAATTCTTATCTCAAAAGCTGTATCTTCACTTAAGAGTATAAAATTCTTCATAATAATGTTAATTAGAAAAAATAGAATTTCAAGCTCTTACTCTCCTGTCTTCCTAAGATTGTGTGACCTCCTCCAGGGGTAATACACTGTCACTCTTCCATTAAAGTCATAAAAGAGGAAACGGACAAGAAAATCCATAAATAAAAATAACATGGGAAGTAAAAAGGGAAGTCATCAGCAGGTGAATTAGGAGCAGGGATAGACTGCAACCATTTGGCTTATATCCTAAGGTAGAGGTCTCCAATTTTTCTGTGATGGTTTCATGCCCACGTGCAGACATAGACCTACCCACCATTTTCACAACCCGATTCTGAACGGGCTGTGTCCCAGCACTGGGCCACGGAACAGAGGTTGGGGATCCCTGTCCAAAGGAATACTGACTTCAAACAAGTCTCTTCTTCTTCTTGGTTACCAATTTTTCTTTCACAAAAGTTAAAAAACTCAAATGCACCTTTCATTGGATTATTAGGGGCTCACAAACGTGTATTGATCCCCTTTGATACTGCTTGCAAAAAGCCAAATGGTGCGATGCCTCTCTGCACGAGAATGGAGGTTCCAGCTATCCAGTTGAGATGGCTCTCCTGAAACACTCTGGAGGGAATTAGCAGTTCTTTACAAAGTCCTTGTGTTTATTCAAAACTGCAGGAATCTCCCACTCCATCTGAAAAATTAACACAATAACAAAGAGCTTTGAATAACTTTATGGTAAGGATTCTGGTGGAAAGACAAAAAGAAGTGTGCTAGAAATACATTTTATTGTGAGCAAAGGAGAATAGCTGAGTGAGGCAAAGAATGATGTTAGCATAGTGGAATCCCTTTCCTTGTAGGGTTAGTTATGCTCCCTCTCTATTCCTTTGTCACCTGCAGGGTGATCGTGGTGAACAAGGCCCACCTGGTCCTGCTGGCTTCCCTGGAGGTCCTGTAAGTATAAAGATATTTTAGTATAAAGGGTGGGAAAGATTTGTTCTACTGGATTGAGATGAGTTGAAGGAAAGTAAATAAATAGCAGAACAACCCATACCAAATATCAACCAGCATGTTTAGTTGCAAAGGAAATCAGGAGAAAGAAAAGTGGAATGTGTGTGTGTGTGTGTGTGTGTGTGTGTGTGTGTGTGTGTGTGTGTGTATGTATGTATGTATGTATGTATGTATGTATGTATGTAAATGGTTGCCTGGATTGAGTGTTATCAGGGAGATGATAAGACACTGTCTTTTGTTCCAAGACTAATTGTGTATTAGTATTTCAGAAAGATACTTAGTAAGTATCATTAACTTATGTTAAGGTTTAACATAATTAATCTTTATATAGGGACAAAATGGAGAACCTGGTGGAAAAGGAGAACGAGGCCTTCCTGGTGAAAGAGGTGAATCTGGACCCCCAGGAAATGCAGGTCCATCAGGAGGCCCTGGTGCACAAGTACGTATGCTGTGATCTGTATGTTCTAT